ATACATACACATACATGCATGCATGCATACATACGTACATCCACACATACATATCCATACATATCCATACATGCTTGTATACACGCACGCATACGTTCATACATAACATAGCATAGCATAGCCAAGCAAAGCATAACATGGCATAGCATATCATGCGTGCATACATATGCACACATATGTACGCAGGTCTAGATGGGTATGCATACAAACGTATGTATATGTATATATATATTTATATATACACATGTATACACACATACTCTTTCAAAGGCTTACCATCCATGACTCATGACCCTATAGCTTCAACTAAAGCTTGGCCACGTTAGTAGATCTTGCAGTGTTGTGATCATACAGCCAGACCCAAATCATACATGTAAAGATGTATATATATATATATGTACAAAACGACCATTTGTGCACGTGCTTTCTACGCAGATTTCTCGGGGAGAGGAGGTCGTCCGGCCTCATGAGAGGACTGCCACGGTTATCATGATGGGACAAGAGAAACTATTGTAGGAGAGAAACTATTGTAGGATGTACTGTTTAGCTTGACGGGAAGATTTCGAACAGCTCCATGGTGTCCTTGTTGCCGTGTATCAAGGTTTCATTTAGACGCGGCAAACGCAGCCCAGAGTCCTAAAGAACAACCTTTCCCAGAAGTTACGCTGCTTCCTGCACAAACCCGTCAAGTTCCAGTCGTCTAGATAGAGGCTGAACATACGCATCCTACACAGCATGTTTGGCCCCGATACTGCAACGTTTTACATGCCGAAATATTGTGGTTCAACTAGTCTTTAAATTAATAACGTGAGATGTGGAGGTCCTCTGCATCTAATGGCTAAAGTAACAATGAGCAGTGAGATTCACCTTGTGTCTGAAAGACAAACAACCGACTGTGTGGGTTTAAATAGCTAGCACTTTCGTGCGAACTCGTAATCTTCATGGCAAGTTATGGAGGATATGTAAACAGAGGATGTCGTAAAGAGCATATGTAACGGGACTTTGAGTTAGTTGTTCAATTCCCGCATTGCTCCACCCAGCCTAAACATGCAATGGCTGTTCTGCTAATAATAATCATAATAACCTACTAGTGTTAATATTGCTGATATGATAATAACTTAATGATAGTAGTACTATGACAAATAATACCAATGCTTAATACCAATGCTTCATACTACTACTAATACTAATAGTAATATCACCAGTCATATGGATACAAAAGTAGCATTAATCATTGCAATAATCATAGTACTACTACTACTACTACCACTGCTAGTAGTAAGCATCTTAGTAAATTGAATGATAGGTGTTTCAGAAAGCCCTGGCTCGTTAAGAAGTTTTCGCAAAGAGGGCACTCCACTGTTAAACGGGGGAGCCTACACCCAAAGCCCCATCATCATAGCCTAATTATTAGGGTATAGCGGGTTTTAGAGTTTAGGTATTCGGGCCGACTACATAAGCTCTAAACCCTATAAATTCCAAGTCCGAAGCCCTAATCCCTAAAGCTTAAACCCTAAACCCGAACGAATCCCCAAGCCGAAGCCCTAAGCCCTAAACCCTTAAATCCCAAACCCGAAGCCCTAAACCCTAAACCCTAAACCCTTAAATCCCAAACCCGAAGCCCTAATCTCGAAACACTTCTGAAGTTCCCAGGGCCTTCTGGCAGCGCAGCCGGAAGGAGGTTTGCTGCATATTCGGGAATTAAGGGTTGAGGGTATATGACGAGATTATAGGGTTCATGCTTTATAGGGTCTAGGGTTTTGGCTGTTTTGAGATTTGGGGCTTGTAGTTTATAGGGTGTAGGGTTTTGGTAATCATATGAGTTTAGGGTTGAGGGTTCGGGCTCTGACCAGTAATAGTCGAAGATTCGGGGACTTGGCAGCTTTGATGATTCATACGCAGAAGT